TTTTCTTTTGTACATAATTTTTAAAACGTTTAATTTAAATATAATCTTGTACGTATCATACATTTTTTTTATCATATAGTTAAAATTGAAAAATATCCTTTTTCTTTTAAAATATATATATTCATACATAATAGATAAAATATCTTTTTTATTAAACTCTTAAACCCTTAATTAAAACCTTTTTATATAATAAACAATGGTACTTTTTTTTAAAATTTGAACATACGATTAAAACATTTTCTATTGTACATATCTAAATACAAAATACGAGATTAATTAAACAAATACCCTAATATACTTTAATTCCACATTATCGCACATGTAAATAATTCTATACACCTACACAATACACTGGCATTTTGATACATTATACGTTTGCTCATATTAACATTCGTTATACTTACACTTGATTGGTTCGATTCGGTTAATTTATTGGACACTATGATCCTAAGTCTCATCCCCATTCATAAATTTGTACCCCCGTTCCCGGATACTATTTTGTAATAGCGTAGATTTTACATTTTTCGCAATTTTATCGCTTTCAATTATGCCATGATTAGACCTAGGGTTTGCATGTATATAAAATCAAACGCTAGATAACCTAATACAAGACAAATACATGAAATCAATACACAATCACACTTGCACCCTCTAGGGTAATCCCACATGTTGCCTTCCAAAATGGGCCATGCTTGCACGTCGAGTATCTTTGACAAAACAAAATCAAAATGATCATAAGTCCCTCAAAATGCTGCCTAAACGGAATGATCATAGTCCCTTCAAAGCAAATTGCCAAAGACACTTGGCACCATTGCATTCATGGTCCATACGATGACCCGCGCCCGTCCCGAACAAACTTCCTAAATGCAAGATTGTCCACCAAATCCAATGGTGGAACAAAATTGTTAAAAGGGGTTAAAACATAACAAAAACCTTTGAGTACAATAGGGTAGACAAAACTCTTAGTTACTTGAGATCGACTTGCAAAAAACACTTGCCTTCTTTTCAAAAACCACAATCCACAACACTTTCAAACAAACTCTCAAAACATTTTTGAAACATCTTTTCGAAAAGATACACGCCTTCGTAAAATATTCGAGTAAAGAATTGTTACAAGGTTAGCCTAAGACAAGGCATCTTCTTCCAAAACATTTTCAAAAGCACCCACACACATACCATTTTCAAGCAATCAAAAAAACAAGGCAAGTGATCTAAAAAACCAAGTAACTAAGAGCCCATGGATAACCATGGATGAAAAGGGTGCTAATACCTTCCCTTTTCATAATCTACCCCCGAACCCACGAAATATCTCAAAAGGTTTTTGCTGTGCTTTTTTTTAACCTTTCTTTTAGGATAAAGTAAAAAGTCGGTGGCGACTCTTGCTCAACCGCACAAGTGCGAATACGAACGCAAAACACAAGTCAGTTCTCCCACCGTATCACACATAAGATTCCAAAATCAAAAAAGTCATGAATCATCTTTAAATGATATTTATATGTCTTATAATAAAAAATCTCTTAGAACATAGACATGTTATTCACGTCGAAACCAAATGAAAACTCAATTGAACACCGTCCTTTACGGTACAAACTAGTCATTACCATGCAAATTTCTTATTCCATACATTGCAACTAATATTCTATATATATATATATATATATATATATATATATATATATATATATATATATATATATATATATATATATATATATATATATATATATATATATATATATATATATATATATATATATATATATTGCAACAGACATTGATTTTAAATGATTGTAAATGCCGTAATCAAATTCGCACAATGATAAGCATATTGATGTAACATATATTTTTCTATTTAAAATTCATATCATGCAATACTAATTTTCATTAAGGTGTTCCCTTCCGGCACAATATATATTCGCAAACGATATCTTTTCAAGTTTAGCCATTAACGTCTCTTCTGGCATATTTATCGTTTCAAATTCAAACAAAATGTATTTCATAATAAGCAAGGTTATATATCACAAAAGCAAACATTACGAATTTCACGAAAATAAATTCAGTAGCATTATTATATTAGCAAGTAATATCTAAAGTCTTTCAATTATTTTACTTATTCAAATAAAAGGTATAATGCTAATTAAAGGTTGTTTTTATAATTTAAGAATTATATGAATTAATTGTGTATCTTTCACCATTTGAAAGTTGATATCATCTTATTTCAAATTGTATACTTTAATATTAATGTAAATAAAATATAGATCAAAATTGAAAATCGAACTTAAAGGTTGTTAGATCTTGTGTTGGGAATCTGCTGCAAAATATTAACGAGAAGAAGAAGAAAATGGTACGATGAAAGTTACACAAAATTAATTCTAAAGCGTGTGTTTACCCTAAACTTTAAGTTCGATTCAACTCCACTAATTTAGACCAATTGAATGCAAATGGATTAACTGACGAATCCTTTCGGAATACTTTAGAATTTTTTGCGCTTGAAATATATCATTTTCGTGTCTTTTCAATGTCTAACAAATATTTTTCTATTTATTGAGAAACTTATGTCCTTTGATGAAGAGAAACAATTATTTGAAAGATTTTATTCATGAATGATTATATTGCTTCAATTATAAAGTATTACACATTTTCTCTAAAAGGTCTTTTTTAACTATTACAACTTTTCAAATATATTTTAAATTTTTTACTAACATTGAGTTGGATAAACTTCGTTGTGTTTAAAATAATAAAAAAAATGTAAAACAATTTAATACAATTGCACGGATATAATCGTAAGGACTCAACCACTAGTTAGTGATGATTTTAGAATAGTATAGAGTTTAGACAGAATCCTATTCATATCTGATATGTCAAGAACACTTGATCGACTTTACTATGGTTAATTCAGTACGAATCACTTACTTCCTTTTGATTACTATAAGAGACTCGTGATTCAATCACTAGATTTTTTGAACACAGTGCTATCTATGTAATTAGATATGTATCTTTTATGATTTAGATCCCACATGCCCTACTCAAGTCCATAATTTGCTTTAGTTTGGTACTTGGACGTCACAATCACATTGAAACACAGTAAAGTTATAATACAGAGACAATCACTAGGTTACAATAAATTGCAGTATTAGATCATGTTGAACATTTCAATACATCATAGTGCCCATAACCATCATATATAACTCTAATAGGCTTCTCCTTTCCATACTCTTGACCATACTCAGCTATAACTTTAATGTTATTGGAATTCATATCCTGCATCACCACTGTTATAGGCATCCTAAAACCATAACACACATCATCATTAAAACATTAGTAAATGATTTAGTCATAACATTGGACAAATATGACATGTATATGAAAATTGACTTAACTCTAGAACATGGGATGACATGAGAAGTTCAGGCTCTCCTCCCCATACTTGAGACTTTCTCATTTGCATTGTATAGGTGTTAAAGTCACCCTCAAGAAACCTACACACAAAAGTGAACACTAGTATAAGATATTGTAAAAGTGTAATATATCAAAACTTTTTCCTCAACATAATTAACTTACCATTCAGTGTCTGTTCTCCTCTTGATGAATTCATCCACAACCTACAAATAATGTGTTATTACAACTAGTTATAAAAGAGAAAATAGAGCGCCTTTTTACACAGTTCAGCAAAGTGTGCTTGCATCTGCAACTATAAAACAACTGTAATAGTACAAGCTATATATATATATATATATAATACTACGGTCTAGATCACAAAGTACGAGTGAACCATATCAAAACAATTAGTAAATTACTTTAGCTCTGAGTTCATCTGCAAGTTCTTTTTGCTTGGTGAGACTTGGAGGTGGGTCTCCTGTTCTGAGGCAGGCACCATAGACCACTGATCTAAACATACATCTACCATCACCTGGTATTCCTACCATAATCATGTTTTTGCAAGAAATTTAATTCAAATCCAATAAGCAGAATAATCATAAAGAAGTATAACGAAACGATCGAGACATACGAATTATCGGAAGGTTGCTATGGAACGATCTTTCTGATTTAAGCATCACTTGAACCATAAAACTATAGCAAAATCAAGCACAACTTGAATTATGAAGAAGAATAACCATGTATATTGCTCTTGTTTTTAGACCCTCAACTTGGACTAAGATTTCATTTAGATATTATCACTTTTTAAGTTATATATAGATTCTTAAGAAATTAGCTACATATTCTGCACCACACTTTCTCCAAACTTTTAATCTTTTCTTTTGGTTGAGTTGTGCTGTAAACTTAAGCACTGAATAATCGAATCAGATGCTTATTTTTATTTAACATTTTCTTTTTAGCATTCTGCCAAACTTATAAATGTTTCATAAATCAATTTCTGTGTATAAAATACAAAGAAACTGCAGTTACTCTGAAGTCGGATTGGCCGAATTCTTGTGGATTAAATGACAAGACACGCAATGAAAGGACGATCGATCAATCAAATTCACGGGACCTCAGTCCCCACAACAAATTGTGGACAGACAGCTATATATTCAAGAATGTGATGGATGAATATTATAGTCATATCATTTCCTACTCATAAGGAATTGGTTCTTTCACCTTTGTTCTTTGTCCTAAATAGTTGTAATTTTGGACTTTATGTTCACACTTCTCTTTTGTTCCAATACCATTAATACGACAAGTAGTGTTCCTTAAAAACTGAAGCAATAATGTCCTCTCTTTCTAATGATTCTTTTTATGAATTTTTTAGTCATTTTAACTACTATTTAGTTATTTAAGGTGTTACAGGCATTTTATGACTCTAAAGCTATGATAAACTCTTCAAATATGTAGATAAAAAAAAAAAGAATAACAAAAAAAAAGTAGAAAAGATATGTTGTTTAGTTCTCTCTTTACAAGCTAAGTAAAAAAATAATTAATTTACATGAGAGGATGATAAAAAGTAAGGCCCCCAGAAGAGTTAAGAATCAAACAAAGATTTAATTACATGGAACCTAACTCTAACACTGGTATACAGAATAGCTCTTGCTTTTCCATAGAAAACTTAAAGCTTTCCCAACTTTTCTTCTAGATATTGATTTACATAGCGGTTTCGCTTCTTGAGGAGGCATGGACAAATCACCAACTTCAGGTGAGCAGAGTTGAGTCTCAGCAGGTGAATGATCTCGCTGTCGCTGCTCTCGGAAGAGCATCAAGAGTTTCTGAGATTTCTCTCTTCCTCTTGAGGTTCCATTTACCGATATTGAAACCAATGCAGGTATAGCGCCTTCTTGCAAGACCATCTCACAACATTTCTCACTCCTGTTGCATAATATTAGAAGACAAGACACAGCTTGTTCCTGCTCAAGGGATTCACCGGTATCAAGTATAGAAGCCAATGTGCTTATGAGTTCAGGATTCAAGATCATTTCCTCTCTTCCAGCTTGAGAAATGGCCAAATTAACCAAAACAGCTATGCATTTTTCTGTCCACGTGCAATCGGTCTGGCCTACAAGAATAGATTGTAGGCCATTGATGATGCCAGATGAAAGAAGGTTTGGAATATTTGAGGGTACGGTAGAAATATTAAAGAGTGCATGGAGGGCATCTAGCTTGCACTGGACTTCCGTTTTAGTTTGAAGCATCTGGATAAGGAACTGCACGGCCTGACACGTGCCAATCATTTGCTTGGCTTCTTCAAGGCAAGAAAGGTTCAAATAAAGTGCGGTTGCACAACCGTACGAACTGGTGTTTGAAATCATTTCCTCCAACAACGATATGATTCCTGCTGATATCATAAGTTCCTTGTTTCTGTTGAAGAAAAAGAGATCAAGTTTATGTTAATGAACTGCACAAAAGAAAAAGTGCTTCAAGATAAATTAAACAGTAACCACTGATAATTCAGAAGAAAAAAATAGTGGAACATCCAAAAAAGGTGACAGTATTAGTTTTCAGCATATAATTATGTACTATGTTTGTTTCCTCTGCATTTTCGACCTTGAACACTAGGAACAATAACTATTTTAAATTTGTGATCATATACAAAGTAGATTCACGTTACTGTTCAAATCTAAGAATACTAATTCCTACCTGTTGTTATTCACGGCCAGGTTGAACAGAGCCATAGCTCCATTTTCTTGAGCTACCGCATTCCCTTCGCGCACAGCTGATTGCAGATACTGAAAAAGTGCTTCAACAAATCCATTAGCCCCCATAAAAATCCTAGCTTCCTCATCATCCCGCAACAAAATCCTTAACCGCTCTACTATTTTACTCTTTCTCTTCCAATTGTTCCCTTTGGTCAATACTTTCACATAACTAAGATACTTCTCACTGTCTTCCTCTTCTTGTGCCGGCAAGCTTTCAGCTACATTTCCCTCGGTTTGCTCTAAGATAACATTCTCTTCAAGAGGAACAACTTTGACACCCTTCAATTTGCAAGAGTTGACACTATTTACGGATCTAGAATTTGTGGAATCGGAATCTGATAACGCCAATCTCCAGTAGTTAAAATCAAGAGATTCTGGAGGGCCTTCGGGAACAGGAATTCTATTCTGTTCACACCAACTAGCCACGAGACCCTTGACACAGTAATTAGGAGTCAAAGAAAGATGTGCAAGCTTCTGTTGAGTCTTTGGACAGGTGTTGTGACCATCATTGAACCATTTTTCTATACAAGCTCTTTCATAAGTCTGCCCAGAAGCAATTATAACAGGATCGCTCATAAGTTGCAGAGAGATTGGACACCTTAACTCTTCTGGTGGAAGGAGCATCTGTCCTGATTTCTTATTGTTTGGATTAATATTAAAGGAACCAAGTCTTGATATTTGTCTATCAAAGGCTTGACAATGACTACCAGGAACAACATTCTCAAGAGGTATATGGACAGTGGGAGAACAAGGTTGAGAATCATTATCGTCAGAGAACTCATTTCTAAATAACTTGGAGTATTTCCTCATAAGGTGTAGAAGATACGCAATAATTGATTCTTTTCTTTTGTCTTCCTCGGCCCGAGCCCTTTCAATGAGCTTTTTCAGAGCTCTTCTTTCAGTAAGAGCTGCTCTGGAAGATGTGATTCCAAGTCTAGTAGCAGCCATATGAAAACACTCAAGTTCAGTACTGTTATTAGAGTCGCTAAACTTTCTACCCTGCTGGAGCAATGCAATTAAATCATCCCCAACTTGCTTCTCTGATGGATCAAGCGCAAACACTATACCAGCAATTTCGTTTACAATTTCATCAATCTGAACATAGGTAAATTCACAAGAGTAAAAATCAAACTCTGACAAATCTTTACATTGAAATGTTATTGTTTTCGAAATAAATTATGCAAATAAAATAGGTTCCCTTGCTCATATAACTAAAAGGAAATTAGTAAGGCTGAGATAGATACTTCCAATAATTGAACATGATAATAAACCTAGAATCAAATATAAATGAAATTTAAAAGCGAAAAGGGAAACTATAAAACCATATTGTTGAAAGTTATCACCTGACAGCCAATGGCTTGGGAAACAATATCTTCCACTAGCTTAAGACTATCTACAAGAGCACACTTGGCCTTCTCAAATTTTACAAGAACAGAATCCCCAGTTATAGCCTGCATCATAAACAAAGTTATATTTTAGATACTTTACAATATTATTTCAGATTAAATAACCTCACCAACCAACAGAAGAATAAAAGTGTGAAATGTTACATTAAATTAAACACAACTTACATAATAAGAGACAAAATCATAAAAATATAAGTAAAACCAGACTAAAAATAATCATACCAAGTAAAGTTTACTAGACTCCGAGCAATGCTGAAGTACATTCTTCGCCTTCTCTAAAGCTACATGTAATGAACATAATGCCTGAATTCCAGATTTGCTCCTAGGCTTAGCTGCCTCTAAGGCCGGAAAAAGGGACAATATTTTACAATATATCGCAGATAGACGTCTGCACATTTCTCCATGTAACTGCATAAGCAAAGAAGATATATTTGTTAGTATCAATGACCAGAATCATTTTCTTAAAATCTTTCAAAACATTTCGTGCAATAATTGAAGATATATCACCATACCTTGGCATCACTTGCTGCAAAGAAACTTTCTTCAACCTCAGAAACATCCATCATTAACATCCACCGTATAAACCTAGGTTCTAAATTATCTCAACTGTATCCGACGCAAACCAGGATCAAAAGCCGAAAAGAAATCAACCAATTATAGTAATGAGGTGCCAAAGAAACTGCTTCAACCTGTTTAAAAGAAGAACAAAATTGCATCAGCCAATATCACCGCTATATGTACACACATTCACATTTTTATATTCTATCAAAACCCTACAAAAGTAGCATAATTTGGATATTTCAATTTCTTCAAATAAAAAAGGAAACATGAAATCTCATGTTAATTTTTAACCAAATATTAATTAACAGCGCCAAGAAAGGAAAGTGTAAACAAATCAAATTGAACATTTTCTATTACATGAAGAAATTAACATTGATAAAAATAAATAAACAAATTGAACCAAAACATTTCAATTAAATAGCTTCATTATAACAACAAAATATGAACATAATTCCCAGCTAAAATCCAAATAGATAAATAAATACCTTAATAAACAAGAGAGAAATGTGATTCAGATTTGAGAAAGAAAACGAAGATGAATGAGAATGTAGTAATTAGGGTTTTGAGATTTCAGGGAGACAGAGAGGCATTGAGGTTAGAAGTTAGAACCGAAAACGGAATTATTGAGAGGACAGAGAGAAAGAAAGAGAAAGAGGAAGAAAGAATGCAGATTTGTTTTCTACCACTCTCTTTTTCGTTATAGCGTAAAAATCTTACAAAAAAAAGCATATATTATAAGGATTTGATTATGAATGTGATTAATTTAATTAATTATGAGATTAAGAGATTAATTAATATTAAGCGAGGGACAAAATTTGAATTTTGAGAATGAAAAATCAATGTTGTTTTATTTTATTTTCTTAATTTATCTCTTTTTCCCGGTTCACCGGCCGACAGTTGCCGACCTCCTTGTTTGTCGCTTAGTAGACATGTCAAAATCATTAATACTTGCTTCCTGACAAAATTGTCCTTTTCAATATTTTTTTTTTTTTATATAAATAAGTTAAGATTTGCCCGACAATAATTTATTCTTTTAGATTTTTTTTTATGATTAAGTGGTTGGTTAATGTAAGTGTTTGGTTAAATAATTGTATAAAAAATTGAAATCATATGTTATTCTAGTGATACGTAGTTTGCAATCCAACGTGGTGGTGGTGGTGATGAATTGGAGTACAAGGTCACATGGAAAAGCATATGGGTTGAATTAAAAATGATGTAGATTCATGTGCTTTGTTAAAAAAATAAATAAAAAGTAGATTCATGTGCTTCGAATATTGAACCTCATATTTTTCTTAAGAGATTTCGAAAGTGTATATTTTTTTGTTAAGATATTTTTATGCATTAATGAAAGCTTATCTTTCAAATACATTGGCAATTAAAAAAATTACAGCTATAAATTATTTGGAAATTTATAGAAATTACATCTAAAATTGAAGGCTCTCGAAAAAGCTTCACAAAAATCATACCGTGGGTTTACCTAATTATGCAAATTGGTTGCTCACAAAAATCATGGCGGAATGCAAGAAAAGTTAGTTTATTGAACGTGTAATAGTACTTTCATGTCTTTCATGGATAAAATAAAATAATACCAATAAAATTAGATTTTAGATCTCTAGTTAAATCAATACAGTTAATGAATCAACTAAGTTGATAACGGTACGATAGATAACAAAATTATGATATCACTATAGAGACGATTTAAATCTACAATATTCTACTTATTTAATGATGAAATTTTCGTTCATAGCTAAGTTACCTAAATAATTTATAATGTAATACTAGTATGATTTTTAGGTGAATAATATCTGCTCTAAAGAACAATGAGTACAACAAAACGAGTTTTTTCCAGCTTTGTATGGTGTGATGCATTCATGGGATGTTGTCTCGGTGGTATTGATTAGTGTTTAAGAGTAACATTGATGTTTGTTTGTATTGGTAGTGGATGTGTCCACGTAGTTGTACGGAAAACAGGATTTGACGTAATTAAAATTACTAGTAAAGTATTTATAGTTGAGTTAATGTGGGACCAGAAACAGTGAATGTTGTGTTTTAAAACCCCCAAATATCAGTTGACTTTTAACTTGGGACGTAATTATACTACTACCCCACGGTGTCCTTAATTTTAGGAAGGATGGGAATCCTTCATTGGCGGTGATAGAGAAGCTTCATGGACGGTGGTAAAGGTTGTCGTTTCTGTAGAATGGAGCTTTAGATATTTAAATGGGAAATGCTTTGTTTATTTTCTTATTAGGAGGAGACCATAAGCTTAAAAAAAAAAAAAATTACAAATTAATTAAATGTGGACAACACACTCCAAAATACATCGATTTGATTCAATGTAGGAAAGGCACATTTAAGATTTGTTTGGATGTGTTTTAATTTCTATATTTAGTTTTTCAAAATTATTTTGCAAATTAATTTTAATAAACAATTTTGAAAAATATGGTTTCCCACACTACTTTTACTAACTCTTTGTTTTCAAATTTTGCACCATTTTATAATCCACAAGTTTAAAACCAAAAAGTTCAAATCAAAAGTCATATAATAATGAATGTTTGATTGATAGTAAATTATCACATTAAAATATGATATTTATTTTATTTAAATGATAAGTTTCTTATATAAAATTTTTAATTGGTTTGTACATGTGTATTTTGGATTTGATCTGTTTTTGTGCAGATTTTAGTCCTTAAAAAAATTAGAAAACAAATATTTCGTTAAGTGAAAGTTGCAGCGGACAGTTCGCTTAACGAACTTCCAGCGAAGAGAAGACAAAAATGAATCAACCAATTTCGTCAGAAGTGAGGAGAAGCGAAGCATTTCGCTTAGCGAAACGGGACAGACAAAGAAAGATATTTTAAAAAGACTTAACATTGAAGAAAGCAACTTCGCTAAGTGAGCATCACTTCGCTCGGCGAACTTTGGCGGTTTTCTGAAGACAAGTTGATTTGAAAACTTAACAAAGAAACAAGACTTCGCTTAGCGAAATATAGTCCACTTAGCGAACCCAGGCGGTCAGAACTCAGCTTTAAGAATTCATTCGGTTTTTTTACCTTGTAATACACTATATTGCTGTAATAGAAGTAGGAATAGAAGAGGTTTTAAGTAGAAGGGTTGGATATACATCAAGAGTCAGGAAATCGTCATTGATGTCGTTTCAATTCATATCTTTCATTGTTCTTCAAACTACCATGAGTAACTAAATTCCTCTCTTGTTGAGATTGGTTGTAAGTTGGTCGAAACACTATGTATTTTCTTTAATCATGGTGTTATACGCAATTAACTATGAATCATTATCGTTTTGTTGTTATCTTTGTTTTACTAGTTATTTCATGGATTTAATTGATATTGACAAATACGGTTCTAATCTTGATCCAAGATAACAACTATTCAACTCTAAATGATAAACATAGATTTAGGTTTAATATTCACTAAAAGTATTGAATCTTAATATTGTCGTATTGTTTAATAGACTGAGAAATCATCGATTAAACCATAAGATAGAAATTGCATCAAAGTTTAGACATTAACTTTGTTTGTGTGCGATACGTGATGATAATGAAACATTCTTAAATTATGTATGACTAATTTTTTATGTGCATATTGAATCGGAGAACGAACACTAATTCCCAACAAGTCTATTTCTCTGAAATTTTTCTTTATTTATTGCTCGTGTTTTACTTTTCGTAACTTATCAATCAAACTTCTTGAAAACGTATGCTTAAAATAATAGGAATTGTTGAACAGTTTTGATATCGCTCTAATCCCTGCGGATACTATAAAAACAATACTTCCATTTGATTATATTCAACATCAAATTGGCTTCGTTGCTAGGGATTGGCGTTTAAGATATTAAAACATCACAATCGTTTCTATACTTCTAATTTTTATGAATTTGTTATATATTGTATTTTTTTTTCACAACTGTTTGTTTAAGTGTTGGATAAGAGGTGAAAATTCTGTTTATGCTTCGAGGCGAAAATTCAGAAGAGCAACTTCTTTTTTATCCCGAGATCAAAAGAACAATCTGAAAGAACAAAAGGAAAACGAAGAAGCAAAAAAAACCATCCAAGAAGAAAAATCACACAGGAGCTTCTACATCAACTCCCTCAACAAATCTTCCTGTGAAGAGGTAGCAATGTTGTTATGTGGTTCTTCCTGTGAAGGAATATCATAAGATTTGAGCGGACGTGGCTGATCACCCATGTCTGGTTCTTCAAATGGTTCGGTAGGAATAAAAGATTGAGAGAGTGATTGATCTGTACGAAATACTCGTACTCGGCGTCTTCTAGTAATAAAGCGCCCAGGTTCAGAAATTGGTAGCATTAAGCCTTCACCTTTAGAGTGAGTGTTTGGCATACAATTGGAATGGTGCCTTAGTCTCTACAATGTAACTAAAAGAGTTACGATATCGACTTGTTAGTCCCCGGCAAGGGCGCCAAAAACTTGATCGCGACTTTGTGAGTCTTAAAGAATCTAGACCGCAAGTATACAGTCCTATCGCGTGTAGCTTTAAAGATTATCGAATCCCAAGGGACTAAATGTTGAACTACCGTTATCTTAGGTTACTACGTAAATCTAAGGCTAATAGTGTAATTAATAGGGGTTTATGGAACCTAATTAATTATAATTTAGTTTAGATTCAAGGGAGAATATCAGTATGTAATGGTTGAACTTCGGGGATTTAGCAACTCATTGACCTAGCTCGGATTAACAAAACAGTTTTCGGTAGGAAGCATTTGTTTGAAAATCCTCTTCTCACACTCTCGTGTTTATTGATTCAGATCCTACGATCAAATCTAAGTGAGTGCTCTCGCTGTTTCAATTAGGGTTTAAAAATAGTTTTTAGAAACAAACAAAACCTAATCAACTTAAAAGCGCTCTCGCTGTATTTTAAGTTGATGCACAATTACTACTGTTTAGTTATTATCTCAAACTCTCGTTTTATTGATCCTAACCTCTATCTGTATTTTACTCTCGTAACAAAACAATTAATATTTAA